TGTACTGGGGCTCTAACTTTGATATAGTTCACCATGTGCTTTGTTTTAGGTTAGCAGATTCATTTAGGATAAACTGCATGTGACTAACTAAGAACTTACTCCAGTTTAATGAGCTGAGGATACATGCATTTGGGGGTTTGACTTGTTTTAGACATCCTCACCCTCCATTCTGAATCATAATTAATGTTTTGAAACACCAGGCTCTTCATTACTATAAAAGGTATCATGAGGGAGAGAAACTTGGTGGTATTAAAGGACCACATTATCACGGTAAATTGGGAAAGACGGAAAGAACTCGGAGACCATCATAAACTGTCTGAGCAAAGTGTCTCCAGGGTGTTTGGCAGCTACTCTCAGAACACTGCTTTCTTTCTTATCTTTCCCCGACCTTGGCCAACTGTTCCTGTTGTGTGCATGGCATGTGATAACCACATTAATCTGTGTTGTCTCTCTCTCTCTCCCCCCTATTTTTTTTTTCTCTCCCTCTGCTCTTCCGTTATTTTCTCTAACTCTTTGGAAACCCAAGGAGCTGGTAAGAGCCTGACTAACTCTCCTCTTCCTCCTCCTCCTCCATCATGTCATATGTGTAACTTGTCTAAGGTTTTGTGTCTCTTTTTATCCGGATGTTTGTAAGCCCACTCATAGCACCTTTGTGTTTGTGTCAGCACTGTTTTAATTCGACCCATTGCATGTGGTTCATCATAATTGATCACTAAAAAGTTTTGATCAAATGATCCATGGTATTTCCAATCACTAATCAAAACCTGTCATTTAGAAAAGAAAGTGTTAGTTACTTCCAGCTGTGGTTCTGCCTTTTCCATTCACTCCACATCGTTTTATCATAGTAAACCTGTAGCACACGGATGACATATTTGTTTGTAAAGATGACACTACAATCAGTCTTTGCTGAAACTATGAATGAACTTGAAATTATCTGGTTGTGTAAAAGCTGGACCAAATAATGGATGTGAAACTCTTGCAGATTCTGATGATTCATGGTTAAAATGGGTTTTAATTTCTATGGGTGTCTGGACTTGGTTGACAATAATACACATAATTCATGATCTTACCGTATGTTTTGGACCATAAGGCACACC